TGAGATACGAACGAGGAGGAAGTAATAAATAGCCCCGAGTGGCGAGTAGCCGTGCCAACCGCAGCCATTTATAATTTTGTCTACTTGCCCCAAGTGCGGCAACAAATCCGCACTTATCACGGGCAAGGGAGGGTTTATGTTGACCCTGACCGTTCCTGAATGGGCTAAAAAACGGGGGGATGTTTTGTCATTTTTCACCCCTTATAAAAAAAGAAAAGCGACGCAAAAAAAGTTATGCCAAACCACCCCGAAAAAAAACTCGATTGTGCGTGATGCGGAAAAGTAATAGAGAAAACGTGTGATAATCCGCAATGTGCGGGTTGCCATTTTCATCCCTCTTGCCTAGATAAAGCCTATTTCCGTGCTTATTGAGCTATGACCTTATGCCCTAAGTGTAAAAAGTCGTGCGGATTGGACTAAAAACAGCCCGCAAACCAACATTTTTATTTTAAAAAATTATGCCAAGAACCCTAACCCAAGAAACTATTTTAGAACTAAAAAACCAACTTTCCGCACTGCCCGATACGGAAGAATTTCGCGAAAAAAGAGAAAAATTAGAAGTAAAAATAACTTCTTACGAAATTGTGTCTACTCCCGCTGCTATTGATTTTCTAAAAGACATATTAGAAACGAAAAAGAAACTCCTCCCCAAACAAGGAATTTTTTCTTTCGCCCAAATCTTAACGAGAGAACAATTTTACCGCCGTAATGGTTTACCTACGGAGATAAACAGATTAATTGAAGAAAAATACTGAATTTTGTTTTGGAAAAAATGAGAGCAAAAAAGAAATAAAGGACTTAGAGCAAAACCATTTAGACACTGGACCCAACAACAATTAGCCGAGCAAGAAGCCGAGACAATTTTTCTGCGAAAATGTAGAGAAAAAAAATTAGCCGAACAAACCAAAGAAATTCTTTGACTATTGCGAATTCTCCGCAAAAATATAACCCTAGGAGAAACAGCCCCGCAAGGATTAAAAGAAGCCCAAGAAGTTTTACAAAATCATTTCAAAAGAGAGTTTGAAGAACTTTATAAAGATAACCCCCAGCAACTAGCCCAAATTACGGCTTCCCCTTGATTCAAATTTCACCCTTTCGTAGCCAATCTCCCCGAACCAAACCCCGAAAACATACCTTTGCCTGAAAGTCGACCATCTACGCCCGACTTGAACCCAGACCAAATTATAAATGGCTGCGGTTGGCACGGCTACTCGCCACTCGGGGCTATTTATTACTTCCTCCTCGTTCGTATCTCA